AGAGGATAACCGAGGTGCACACAAGTTTCCTCGCCTTATGTTCCCTCGTATGGAATAAGCACATAGTTACAAGAATAACACAAGATCACTCCACATTTCAGTTCAAAATATCTAAACGTGTCAAGCCTTGTGTCAGAAATTGTGCTGGTATGTTTTCGAAAATCCCGAGACAATTGTTGGTCTGATATATGATTCATGATCATTCATAGTGTGATGTAACGTCCGCAACACTCCACTGCTATGAAGCAAACCTCCGTCGCAAGACCGAATCAATCAACATAAATTGACTTCACATGCGTTTGGGTGTATTCAATCGTATTCTGTTGCATCGATCTATGTGTTGGTATATACTCCCTCTGCCGTGGATTTGTGCCTTTTTTATGATAATGAGACACCGATCTAATTTCTCTATTACGCATACCTTGTTCAACGATTGGCCTTTTTTCGTTTCAGCCAGACTGCAAACTGAGAAACAGAAAACAGAGTGATACTTGATTAGAGATCCACTGCAATCGGTTTGTGAGTGCACATTCTGGTGTTATGCGCGCTTTCGTTTCGCCGGATCACGTGATACATAGACGGCCTGTTTGATGCTAAAAATAGCATACCAAATGGATGAGCAGACGTGTACAAAACAATCTATATCAATCCTGTCTTCGTGGCATCCCGCTTCCGTGTAGGCTCATAGTTCAAATACGCGTATTATAGGAAAATCAGTTCCGTGATAAAGAACGAACAGTCTTGAACCTTTCAATGAAGAGAGATCCTTAACTGGACTGAAACTATTCCAACCGCGTAACAATAAGCCATCTCCAGCCGAAACGAATGAAGTTAACCAGGTACCATTGAACAAGCTGATATACCGAAACCAAAACAAACATGGTGTAAGCAGATTCGTGGTTGTGAAGTCACTGAAACGGCTTCAGTCAGTAGATTCATTTCGTTACGGTTTTACTAGAAACACTAGTTTGCAGCGAGTTCGTGTCTTTGACACTCGACGTGTTTTCGTGTGTGCCTACATTCATTTGAATGCATGATTACAATACTCATTATTCTGCTCACCCTGTTTTTAATTCTCTTACGTAATGGTTGGTCACTCCATTGCACAAATCCATGCAGAGATGCAAAACTGTTCCAGTTCATGAATATTTTGTGTCTGTTTTCTCGTGGTCAGTCCGGGTAAATTCACAACCAACAAGGACTGCAGATTGTTTCCCCCTTGATTTTTGATCGTATAGTTAAAGCGGACGTGTTTAGGTCCCAAACCTGAAGTCTCGCGGTTGAAGTCGCAACAGGACGTCCATAAGTACACACTGCAAACAACTTCCGTCAAATACGAAACAGCTGACGAATGTTCTAGTGAACAATAAAAGTAACGAACATCATGAGATCGAAGTAATTCTCCGAAAATGTAGTCGTTTCGTTAGTTATTCAATTTGCTGAGCACCAGATTCCAAGTTTGACTCCAATGATCCCTATCTTTTGGTCTCATTACAGAATTCACAATGCGGACCGCTCAGTGCACGCCTCGTTATGCATTCAGGGTTGTTTTGTTCTTATGATCTCTGTGACAATTAAATTGTTTTTGAAGATTGGTACGTCGAATGGCCCCATTCATCATCCATCCTCTCATCTTTCATTCCACGACAGGTTTGGATGTGTGGCGGTACTCTGGAAACCATTCCTTGCAGTCACGTGGGTCACATTTTCCGCAAACGATCACCGTACAAATGGGAGTCCAAATTCACTTCCCCACTTCGACGAAACACGATCCGATTGGCAGAAGTGTGGCTAGATGACTACAAACGTTTCTATTACGCGAAAATAGGTTTTCAACTTGTAAGTGATGTGTGGTGTTTGTCTGTTTTGAAGGTCGCATGTGCAGATACGTTACACACACAATGTTCGGTGACCATCACTTTCCTTTTTGTGTTCTAATTCTTTTGATTGTTTATTGATTGTTTTAGTTTCTAAATTGAATCAAAAATTCGGACAAATTTGCCCAAGCATAGTCTGTATTGTGATCCAATGTGATATGTGCGTCGATTCACTAACTACTAAGTTTGGTATTGCTATCTTTCAATTTCTGATATTTTTTGTCGTTCTGGTGATTGGTCTCAAGTAGCTACTGGACATATAACCATAACAAAAGATTAGGGTTTATATTTTAGACAATAATCATCTGTTCAAAACTTTTGCGTGGTCGGTTTCAGATTTTCTTCTTATAATCCTGCAAGAAGGTATGATGTACCCTTCTCGTGTACAGCTCGTACACATGTGTGTTACATTATCTTTGCAATTCGCTGAGCTCTTTGACCAACTCATCGAAGGTTCTGGGTTGAAATCATCGCTATGTACCACATGAAACATGAATTTGATGTTGAGGGTCAGGTATACGTCGCAAAAAAATAAATGAACAAAAATAGCAAGACAGTCGTTTCCATTCCATGTGACGTATTGTTGTACTAGTAATGTGCATTGTGAAATGCTGTCGTTCAACTTAGATGAATGCTTGGTGTATGTGCATTGTAAAGGTGTGCGCAACTCAGGAATCGCAACCGTTGAATAGTACGTTTGGTTTCTGTGACCAGAATATCTGCGTCAGGAATATGAGAACATTGATATGGTTCAAATTTTGAACATTCCCGATGTGTTAAAGGATCTTTCTGGAAATAAGACTATTTGACCCCAATGGATATTTTTGGCATCCGTGAATAGTTGAACTGCCATTATTAAGAATAAATTTTGTCATAAGATTCGGACACTGGTACATTCGTTGCATGTTTTTGACTCTTTTATGCACGCTGTCTTTCATGTACAGTCTGCTCAATTTTGGCGCCACGATGTAGCGTATATCTTAAGTTCGGTCATAATCTCGCAAGCAGTCGGTTTTTCTATTGCATCCTTATACTTCTAGCAAGTGATACAGTCTTCATCACAGATATGTGAACCTCTCAATGCAGCGATCACAGTTTTGTGGTGAAAAATATTTTTGTAAAGTCCACTGTACCAGAATTGCATTAACCTATCTGAACTCAGAACATGACTCGTAAGTTTAATCGCTTGTTTATCGTCTAACACAACTATGGTAGTGATGAACGTTCAGTGTTTATCTACGGTATATTTTGTGACCGTCTTTGCATCTGCAGTACTTGGATTCCTTTAGTGCGTTATTGTGCCTGAATTCGATGTTTGTAATAAAAAAGGATACATTTGTTTTGCAACGTAGTTTCTCGTGACATGTTGGAGCAGTTATAGCATTTAAGAAGAATAATTTTCTCATTTTTGTCCCGTTTCCTCTGTTCACGGGCGCACACACTGTAGTCTGAATAATTATTCTTCTGTATGTGGAGGAAGTATCAAAGGACAAAAGTTCGTACATTCACAGTCACTGTAGCAAACGTTTCTTCCTCCGACTCTCTCCCACCTGTTCCATTATGGTGAATGGATGTATCCTTTTACGTTCTCGGTCTGCCGTTTATTTTTCTCCCCATAGTAATAATAATATCTCTGATACACACTGTGCAAACCAGTGCTCTCAAGCAAAAGTTTTGGTTACGTTATTCCACATTGGATTGCCCTTTACAAGATCGATTCGCATACAGTACAGTGATCGATACCAGGAGAAGTACACAATGTTATCAAGAAAACTATACGACGAACACAATAGCTTATGTTCAATCTGAAACCAATGAATAGACAGCTGCATGTATACCTGTGTTGACTGTGATCAGAAATCGCGTATATTCCACGTTTCTCACTAGTGCAGCTGTCAGATCAGTAAGTGTTTACGATCGAAATGGTAACTAAATGCTCCAAGCTGAATCATCGTGTGTATAAGCCTAATACAAATCTACCCTGAGAACGAGTAACGATGTGAATCATTTGAGACGTTCCCCATGGTTGCAAGTCGCAACATGTCCACTCGTCTACGACAACAGCTGCCGTTTCGTACCAGAATAATCAGGTGGTCTTTGCTAGTTAGATCGGTAACCGTGGACAGAAGTCCGCCTCTGAGGAACCAATTCGACTGTGCATCCATCAGACTCTTGTACTCATTTTTAGCCTGCTTTCCGCACTTTGTAGTACCCATTCAGGATTGATCAACGCTATATCGTTTAGTAAATTTAAATGATTATTATCGGTACGTTCAATAACTCCATATCTCAAAGTCAGGCAACGAAGGGAGGCACAGTTGATTATCTGTTAACTTCAAGAGCTGAGGAATGTAGGTGAAGGTGAAACCTGAAGGATGGTTAGATCTATTCAATCATATCACACACCAATACTGTGAGTTAAATGTAATTGGATTCTGTAGTTGGTGATTTAGCTTTTATCCAATACTTTTATCATTGCAATTGCAAATTCTTTCCATTTACTCGTAGGAAGGTAGCAAAACTGAGACAGATTTTCTCGATATACTGCTTTAGACATTTACATGCGTAGATGGGTTAGTTGTTGAGTTAATAAACGGTTCAAGATGGTGTGCTATGAATATATGTGTATGTTCCATATTTACGGCGGACACCAAGCAAGTATGAAAAAATTACCCAAGATTAGAACGGTGTTAATCCAAAAACTAGAAGAAGGAGACAGGAGCCAAAGGGATAAGTCTTTACAGAAAAATATGGAACAATCGTTTTCTACGGCAGCAGTAACAGCAGTGCTTGAACTGGACTACGTTGCATGCACAACTCCCGTTTCATCATCCTAACTGCTATGGATTTCACAATTTGCGAGATCTTCTAACTTAACATGTTTTAAGAAAGCTGTAGATGCCCTCTATCGGTCAGACTTGTGTCGCTATCGACCAGATGTCACCGAATTGAACAGTTCCAATCCCTCATTGCTTCCTTGGGGAGGACGGCTGGAGAATGGTTATGTATTCTCTTGGACAAATACTCTCTTGATAAGGAACAAAGTGCGATACTGTACTCAGGTCAACGCTTCCTTTCTGCTGTTGCTGATTCCTTGCAGGCTCATTAGAACGTTCCTTTAGTAGAGCTCTGTTTCAACCTACGTTCCAACAGACCATGCTTTTCCCGCTCTGCACTGTGACATCAGTGTTCAATTAGTGTAGCCGCCGACTTTGACCTCAAAACTATTAAAAGTGCAGCCATGTTTTCTTCGTGGTCTCGTTCCGAAATGTTATTATTTTATCCAATCGGCTTATGACCGGTTTCAAAGTTGAGCAATTCAAAACCTTTTTTTTTACCGGGGCTCTAACTAGGGCGCTTTTTCAGATTTATGAACGTCTGTTTTTCGCATGTGTCTCTTATGTTGGTTTCCTAGGCATTTGTTCAACTCAAGGTTGACGGTGCTTCTCGCCCCGGAATCTTCTGTTGCGGTGTGTGGGCCGCAGCTAACCCGTCATTAGCCCAAAAAGTAAGGAGCAAAATATATACGATCCAATACCTTTGGCTTAGACGCGACGTTTCACGGAAGTTGAAAGGTCGTGTATATTGTGCCACAGTTCGTTCAGTGCTGCTTATGGTTATGAGACCTTGAATTTGCGAGTAGAAGATATCCGTCGACTAGAAGTTTTCCATTATCGGTGTTTACACAGTTTAGCCCACGTTGGATGGAGTAACGTGGAGTAATAACGTGGAGGTAAGCCGTCGTGTGTTTGTGAGTCTATCAGGTATAAATCTGCTAGCACACCGAATTTAGATTAGTAGCCTTCACTGGCTAGGGCACGTATTTCGTATGCCCAGCTGTTGTCTGCCGCACCGCGCTTGATTCGCTGTAGTTAATCCGGGCTGGAGGAAACCACGTGGAGGTCAACAGTTGACGTGGAGACGAGGCATGGAGAAATGCACAGAGCCATTAGGTAGAGTAGGTGTCTCTCGCCTTCCAGGTTGGGGTCCGAAAGACTCCACAACCGGTTGGTTGGAGACATTGAAGGATATGGCAGCGAACCGACAGCAGTTGCGTTCGTGTTGTCGTTTCTTGAAGTGGTATGTATACAGAGTTCGATTGCGTACTCTATATGTTGACCATAGAGGTTCACCTTCTTTCCCCTCCCTCAAAATAAGTCCAAACCCCGTTCACCTTAAGTTTTACCACTAACCTTATATGCTTTGCTAGTTTGGCAGTGATCAGTGAAGTTCGCCTTACTGTTTTTCGCTGTACGATGATGATGATGATGATGATGATAATAATAATAATGGTCCAGATTACAGCTTTACTGAATCGTGACGAGACACATTGAAATGACTACTTGGATAAGGGGACTATAAGTCAACTGAATGAAATTGGGTGATGATATTGTGTTTGATACACTTTGTCATACATGTGTGTTTGCGACGGTTCTCGCGGGCACTTGATCGTGTATGAGTGTCGGATAGAGTGGATGAAAACGTTCCATAACTGAGCGAATGGTCATTGTCAAGTTGATTCAGGGACGTTGGGTAACATGTAACTTGTCCGACAGCGCTCCTGGGCTCAAATTTCTTTGAAGCATGTCATCAGACAAAGTGCCATTGTGAACAAAATTTCATGGAAGACTTAGTCTATGTGGAGTTTATTTTATTTCAGCTTGGTTCTAAATACCGTTCCACCAATATATGACTCACAATTAGTTTGAATTTGGCGCCGTTTGGTTCGATTGTATTTGCTCCGGGTAAACTTTGAGGTGTGTAACATGCTTAGGTACGACAAAATGAATCGGTATGTCGCATTCACTTCACACGGGAAGGTTATTAGGTACTGAAGAATTCAAGCCGTTTGATGGAAGCATGGCATATGGTAATTATCTGTCTGCTATTCCTCTGGTTCAGTCTTCTTCACGCTTGTAACTTACATGCTTCCATCGGGTCGACTACACAGTTATTGTGGTT